GTGTCCACCTGCTCCACCACACCCTCCTGTATGCAGAGAGGAGAGTGTACAGTCCTCATGGACCTCCTGTAATCACTATGACTTTGTTGGCCGTACTGGTGTTCAGGATGAGATTGTTTCCATAGAACCATTGTGTCCGATGGTGGGCCTCCTGTCTGTGTCTCCTTCTTTACTATAAACCCTCCACAGTGGTTTCATCTGCAAACTTCCTGGTCATGTTAGTGTTGTGGTAAGGCTTTCCAAAATTTAGATTGCATTGCATTTCTTAACATCAGTTGATTCAATATAATTTGAAATCTATATAAACAAAATAAAAGCTTCAGAAATACTGCCAAGAACTTTGTAGAAACGTATGACAGTTATTTTTGCCATCTCCATCATAACCGTTTCTTTTTCTCCATTGAAACAGAAATCAAGGTGTCGGCCTATCTGAACCTAGCAGCTGACTTCACGCACAATTTCACTGATGGTCTGGCAATCGGAGCGTCGTTCCTGGTCAGTCCAGCTGTGGGCGCTGTCACCACCCTGACTATCCTGCTTCATGAGGTCCCACATGAGATCGGGGATTTTGCCATCCTTGTTCAGTCTGGCTGCACTAAAAAGAAGGTAGTAACACTTTACATTTGACTTTTTCCTTTGAATAAAAGGTTCATAAAACCACAGTGACCTCCACCCACAGCAGGGTTACCCCCTTTCTCAGGATTATAAGAACTGGATGATGAGCTAAACGGCGAAGCTTCAAACATTTACGTTTTGGAATGACTTCATTCATCCTTTAAAGCTTCTGTATAAATCTAACTTACTCTTTTAGCTCTGCTGTCAAACAATCAGGGTATTAGTTATTAATGTTAAGTTCTAAAACATTACTCTTTTCTTTTTACACATTACTGTTTTTCCTTTATTTGTAACTATTACTTATTATAATAATTGTATTGTAAGCAGAAAAGTAGCTGCAAAACACCTGAACTTAAACATTACATTCAGCAATCGTCTTTTCAACATCCTAACTTTAAGTCTTTTGGTCTATATAAGGCATTAATTATTAAAATATATCCTTTTTCTCCTGGTATATTACAAATTAAAGCTTATTTCCAATCTGTAGCTGATCCAGACAGATACGTTTTTACACAGAATTTAAATTCAATATTTTTCCTACAAACTGAATTTCTAAACATAAATAAAGTTAACTCATAAATAAAGTGACTATTTCTTAAAAAAAACTGGAGTTTAGCCTGGAGAAACAAAAATGTCGATCAGTGGAAATTGTGTAAAATATTCTGAACATGATGTATAATTAGTTTTTGTTACCATTTGGATATTTATCATTGACTTTCATTAGGATGTTTATCAAACAGAGAAAACGGATACCCAGTGAGTGAGTAGATAGATGTGAACAGGGTTTGTTTATGAACATTATATAAAACTAGATTAGAATGAATCAGAACCAGCTTGGAAGGAAATGGTAAAATTGTCAGATGAATAAAAATCCCCCTAAATTTTACTATTTTTTTATTTGCCTATTGATTAATAGGTTTATAATAGTTATAAAAACAATTGAAGATGAGAAAAATGTAAATGAAGTGTAGGAAGCAATGACCGATTTTCTGTTGTTCCCCTTTGTGCATCAGGCCATGTGTCTGCAGCTGCTGACCGCTTTGGGAGCTCTGGCCGGGACAGCCTGCTCCCTGCTGGCTGAAGGCGTGGGCGCCACGGCGACCGCCTGGATCCTGCCCTTCACGGCTGGTGGGTTTGTTTACATCGCCACAGTGACGGTGCTCCCTGAGCTGCTTGTGGGCCGCTCCAGTTTTGGCCAGTCTCTGATGGAGATTCTGGCGCTCCTGTTTGGAGTCGGCATGATGGTGCTGATCGCAGAATACGAGTGAAGCGCCGGTCTGGATTGGACAGAAACTTTTACAGCACAAGATGAGTAGGAGAAACTGAGACCCGGACAGGGAGAATAATGGTTTTAAACAGAATGTCAGTGATTTCTTTGCTATTGCCAGTTATTTCCTTATTTAGTTTTTGTCTCCATGTTTTGCTATCTTATTTTTTTACCGCAAGGGTCTTTTTGTTTTTTTTGTTTTTTAAGAAGAGATGAGAACTGGAAAGAAATTAAGGGATCACAGCTTTCATCAGGATGAGCTCTGCAGTAAATTATTCCAAAAACTCACTTCCAACTCCTGTAAAAACAACCATCTTACTGTAACTGCTGCATGAACCACTGAGCAGCTCCTCAGGCGTGGAGCAGAGAACGATGCCGACTGAACAGTGATACTGAATGTTAAAAAAAATCACATTCCACTAAAATACGAGATGTTGCTTTTACTGCTGTGTTCAGTCAATATATCGCTAAAACTACATTTCATTAAATTTTTTTTTTGCAGTAAATTGTTTTTCTTGAGATGCTGGATATCCCCAAATAAAAGTTCCTTGTCTGCTTTTCAGTCATTAGTAAAATAAATGCTCAGCTTACGGGAATATGCGAGTTCATGGAAGTATTTATAATGTGTTTACTTGATCTTCATGCGGTTCAGTCTTTTATGATACAAGCTGCCAAATATAAACTGACAGAGCTGGAACTCAGGTGGTTGCGGTTCCTGTGAAAGAATTGAATTCTTCCCCTGTGTGTCATCACTTAAACAAACCTATCAAAATATCTTAAGTCTTTTGTTTTACTGTATCTGATAATGATCTCAGTCACATGAAGGGAGTTGTAAAGAATGGTAAATACCAGATTTAATTAAAACATTTAAGAAAATAAGTTTAATGTTGTTTCAAGCAAAGAATAGAAGAACAGGTGCTTATGACAGAAATCACAAAACAATGATGCATCTTAAAAACAGCCAAAACTCAAAGGTTTATATCTGTAAAGTGAGAAACACTCCAGATTCTTTTGCCCTATTTTTACATTAAAAAGTTTTGTCACATGATCTTAAAGGGTTTCTATGTGATTAAACCAGCAAGCAGCTCATAACTGAAATGGAGAGAAATATATATATAGATATAAATATTTATAGTTTTCCTCATTTTCTGTTATTTTCAGGAAAAAATACGTTTAAGCTCACATTTGCTCTGGATGAGCTTGAGATATCCGAAGCTGATTTTTTTTTTTTTTTTTTCTGACCTTAATGTTTGTTTGTCGGGTGCAAACATGTTCGTACACGATAAACAGATCTTCAAAGGTACAAAGTGATTTGAATTTGCTAGCAGCAGACGATGTGTGCAAAGCTTTTTTTCACAAATGCACATCATATTCCGACGACTAAGCTCCGCAAATTAATAAGGGAGGGGATTAGAACACAAAATATTTACTTTCTTTTACCTTTGTTTTTCACACTTTGAGATTCACAACAAGGTGCACAATAAATATATATTTAAAATATCATTATTACCTCCATTTCCATGGCTTTGAACCTCATCTTTCTTTTATTACCATTTTTGCACAGAGGATTAAAACAGGCCGAAATGTAATGTGCAAATTGATTTTTTTAGTTAATTTCTCCCTATAGAAATTCCATTTGCAATGACTTGCAGAATAATTTGCATATATTCAATTTTAAAGCATTTTATTAGGACAACAAATTTGGAAAAAAAATGGAGACAAGACATGGAGTTAAGGGAAAAAAGCACTTCTTTTTAATATTAACGTCATAGACCATGCCTTTGAGAAACACCTTTCATTGCAGTTACACTCTGGTGGTGTTTTCCTTTGTGCATCTGCACAAAGGAAAACATCATTCTTTGCAGAACAGCTCAAGTTTAGTTGCAATATTTAGCAAACATCTGTCAACAATAATTTGAGTGTGCAGAAGATGTTTATTAGGTATTGACTTTCAGTGTTTAAAGACAGGTATGATCTAAAACATTACACTTTGGATTTGGTTATGTAATGTTGCCTCAACTCCACGCCCTCATTCTATGTGAATGGGGGTATGACTAAATGTATTGTAGCTTGCTTTGGAATCTTTGGACTTGAGGAAGTGATAAAAGTGCATGCCATTTACCTTCCAGCATTTAATTTACTGTAAACTGTTCAGCCTAGAAGTTTCACTGACTTGAATTGAGCTTATAAGGAGCAGTGAAGTCAGAAGGTTTCAGGAATTTGTCTTTCATTTTGAGTTGCAAAATCAAAAAGATTAAAGCGTCTGTTGTTCCTGATACTCGGGGCTTTCAACTCTCAAAGTATTTATGGTGTGAGACATTTCATCAAGTGCACAAACACACCACACTTTGGATTTCTCACACCTAAACAAGTGCATGGATCAAAACTCATACCTTGATACCAGAACGATAGGCTCTAAAATAGGAAATGCTAGTTATTTTGGGATAATGCATATCAACCAAAAAAAAAAAAAGCCTACAAATGCTCACATTCAATGGAAAATATTTTGTAGTACGTGAGCATGTAATGCCAAGCACAGCGTGATGCACTGCAGAACAAATTGTATAACGTTATAAAAGAAGTCTATGATGAGTTTTTTAAAACCCCACAAGGAATCAAGACCAAACTGTGATATATGTGAAAAAAACAGTGAAATTGTTGCCACAAATACCTCATAAAACACTGCAGGTTAAACCATAACACAGAATATACAGACTTGATGATGGAGGAGAAAGAGCACAGGTGCTTCTAGGCTGAAGGAAGGTACAGTACAGTGACTGACTATAAATGGAGATTTAAATGCTGCTCAGTGCTGCTGCAGATGGAGTTGCTATTGTTAATAAAAGTGGTCATAATGTTAAAGAATAAATGTGTTTCCAACCAATACCTGTATTAAATTAGTGTATTACACTGGAAGAAAGTTTAATATGTCCTAACCAATTCCTCATTTAAAGTTGAGTATATTGATCATACAGCTCAATTATAATAAAACAGCTTTGGTGAACGTACAAGATACCGGTAGTTAAAAATAAAAGTTAATTAAATCTATGTTTTGCTATTTACAATAGATTAAATCAGCTATAACTGATCAATTAAAATTTGAAAAAGGTGGGAATGGACAATTTAGTGCAATATCTTGGATTTAATTTGACTAAATATTTCAAAGCAATTTTCAATTTAGAGCCACCCAGTATTATACAGCATTTTTTTTTTTTTACATGAGACTTGCTTTGTGTGTTTCAGTTGTTTCAGCTCAAGCAGATTATTGCGTTGTTCCAGTCGCCACCAAGGGCTGCAGAGGCCTGTTCATCACCTGTTTATCAACGCAGGGAGACATCTAAACATGCAGGAGATTAGGACCTCAGGAGCCAGTTTGAAAACCACTGTTACAGAGCAGTTACATTATTCCCTAGATTTAACAAACGCATTGTCTTTGTAAAGTGGCATGAGAAGAAACATGGGTAGCACCGTTGCCTTGCAGCAACATTGTTCTGGGTTGGATTCCGGGCCTGCAGTCTTTCTGCATGAAGTTTGCATGTTCTCCCTGAGCATGCATGGGTTCTCTCCGGGTACTGCAGCTTCCTCCCATAGTCCAAAAGCATGACTGTTAAGTTAATTTGCTTCTCTAAATTTTCCTTAAGTGTGGGTGTGTGTTTCTCTGTTGCCCTGCGACAGACTGGCGATCTGTCCAGGGTGTACCCCACCTCACCGCAACCCTGACAAAGACTAAGCGAGAGAGACTGGATGGATAAATAATCTTAATTAAATAAAACATTAAGTGTATTTGCAAAAAAAAAAAAAATACCTAATAGGTATCTCCAATACCAAACTGTATTTTACTCCATATCGGATCAAAAAGGAAATTGGTGGTATGAAATAAATAAGATTTAAGGTACATGATCTCTTAATATATTTATAATAAACTTTACTTAAATTATAAAATCTATCAAATTAGTGTTTTTATTTATGATTTAAAATATAGATTTTGTTGTCAGCACTTGGAATCTCATGCTGAGCTTAAGAGCCTGCAGATGATGCTGGCTAAAGATAAGGATAAATGTAGTTGGAGTGTCATTCATGCTGACGGTAAAAACACCCGGTAATGCTGGTCTCAGATCACTGAAAGTTGTGTTTCTTCCGTGTGTTTCTAAAACTATCTCAGGATTTGCAATTTACTTTATTCCCCTTCCTGATCTGGCCAGTCAAAACATGTTAAACCGCATTTTGTCAGTCAGCCAGGTGGTTTTCTGAAACCATGTTGTGTATGTTGGCAGCCTTTTGGAGTAAAACATAAACTCATAGAGATAACATCCATCCAACATTGAATGGAGCAACTCTTCTTTCTGTTCAATCTGACCTGATTTTACCAAGGTGCAGACCAGGAAACAGAGTCGTGGTTTAATGAACCTCTCTCTGTCGGAAAGTCGGAGACAATACAGCACTCTACACATCTAGAGGAACTTACCTGCTTAATTTGCAAAACCGGTCTACTGCTGAACAAAATGACAAAAACACTATATTTCTCTTTATTAATAAAGGGAAATTTTTCACTTCATGATGCACACATTCACATATGGTGTGGATAGTGCATTGTAGCCACAGCTGCACACTAACAGAAGTGAGGCTGCTTTATACAGACATCGCTTGGGCATCTGACCACCAAGGATGAAAGTAAGCTACCAGTGAAAGATTTAGGGACAGTATGCATTTCCAGGAAGACCAGCTATCTGCTATTTTGTGCCACCAACAATTTTTGTGGCACCAACGATCAGAATAAGAATTGATTTCTTTTTATTACAGTTGCCAAACTCACAAAGAGGCATGGCTTTGTTGAACCATCTATTCCCCCAGTTCTATGGGATTCTTCATAAATAAGATAGATTCTTTTAAAAATAAAATCTTTGGGATAATGATCGACCCATACTTAGAAAGTATTCAATTCTAGCCACAATTTTCCCCTATTATTAGAGAAAAAGATTTTACTTGAGGGATGATAGGTTTTGGTAGGCCCTGAAGCAATCTTTAAAAACAAGAATCATTTACACGCTCTATTCAATCTAGAAACAATTTAAGAAAAAAAGTAGTTTGAGCTGTGCCGCTACAACAATGCCGTCCAGTACACGTTACAAACTACCCATCTTTGGACCTACAGCCATATTTACACACCACTCTCCTGTTAATGCTTTGAAACAAACAAAAAAAATAGGAATCAAACCCTTACAGATACAGATATATTAAGCAGATCCCTAAGTTCTCCAAGGCAGCGGCCAAGAACAACTCATCTCAACAATTTCACAAAATATGCCGCTTAAAACTATACAAACTAGACATCAAACCCGCATTTATGATCGCCAAGGCCTGCTGGAGCTACGGCCACAAAATACCTACATTTTTGACCGCTTAAAAAGCTCCAGAGTGCTACGGACAGATGTCAATAAAACAACAGAGGAAGAGAAAACACAATGGATCATTTCTGACTGGAACTCTCTTAAAAAAGGAGACATGTAACTGCTGCACCATTATTCTGACGGGGTCTTGGCTGCGTACAGTAGCAC